CTTTGCATAGTTTTTTGGCCTGACAATCTGGCAGCAAAAATGTATATCGATATATCGTTAAACCGTTATCGATGATAATTTTGCAGGTCACCTGACTAAGCACCGGGCAAAGTGGGCAAATTCTTCAACTGCTCCACAGACCATTTGATCTTGCTGGATGCACCAGAAAGAGCCTCACAACTTAAATGATAAACAACCAACGTTCTCAAAATTGGATGACTGGACCCGACACTATCGAGCCAAGCCTTCTTGCAATCCTTTTTTAGCTGGTCCGTTTCCTTTCTGGCCTCAGCTTGCTCTGGGGTTTCAGCTGGGGTTGGACCTTGACCATTGTTTTTTACTGTTTGCTTTCTCCTCTCCTTTTCCTTCCCAGAATTCTTTTCGGTCTTCTTGCCGCCTTTGGTGGTGTTTGAATCCTTTGCCTTTGAATCGCCTTTCGCCTGCGAGGTGTTTAGGCAGCCCTCGTTGTTTCAGGACGCGCCTCCAAAAACAATTATTGAATACCTCGATTATAAATGTTGGAATTCCTCGGCCTATTGTACTAGTTACTGCTGTTCTAAACAATATGTGGAGAGCATGTTATAGAAATTGCTGCTGTTTGTGATAAGCAAAACCTATGTTTTCTAGAGGCTGCCGGCAGATGTGAAGGATAGAATAGCCCTAGGCCCAGATACCAAAGGTACCCAGCCTTGCTTTTCCTCTTGCTAGACTTTCCCTTTTTATGATGGTTTCCGCTTGATGAACTGCTGCTGGAACTCTCTTCATCAACACAACGGAACAGTCTCGTTACTTCCTCACACTCTTCATCATCAGCGCCAGATTCCACCAAGCATAAATATTGCCTGTGCTCCTGGCCGGCATTGAGCAACAAAGGGACGACTATCAGAGCTGAGTTCGTGATGAACGGCCGGGTAATACAAATTAAAGCAATTGATCCATGATGAATTTACTAAATTCCCTTCACTCGATCCTCCTTTTGCGGCAGCTCTGGGTGATACCTCACCTCTGTCTGGCAAAGCTTTTCATCCATGGTTTTGTGCTCGATCATGGCTATGGCGATGGGTTCAGTGAACTGCGCAATCATCTGATGTTTGAACAGCCACCTTCGCACTCCCCGCACTGTTGATGACTTGCGCGCTTTTATCTGAAGGTAAAATGTTGATGTTTTCCAGGCTCCCTGACACTGGGCCCAGGCATCGTACAGTACGGAGTTCAATGACTTACCTCAGAGTACGCATTGGTCGAAATGCAATGTTCCAATAAAAAGTGCAAGTATATAAGCGATTAAAACAATCTAAAACACATGCACCCTAACCCACCCTTCCTGCATTAATTGGTGCAAGGCACTGCCATGCGCCTCCATTCCCATCATGCGAAGCTCTTTTGGCGTTTCGGGATCTAGGCACAGCGGGTCGATCAATCACTACTATAGTGACTCAAATTAACAACAATAGAAACTTGATAATATCTTTTAAATAGTGATTTTTGTTATATAATTTGCAAAACATGCGATAATCGGCACGGGATGAATTGATCAACTTTTACAGCTGAGTCCAAAACTCCGGATGCTTCTGTAGTAGCGCATGTAGCGAGCATGCGCATCTTTTCTTCTTTTCTCAAGCTTTTCCTGGATAGCTTTTGCTTTGTCTTCTTCTGCAAGACCCTCCAGGGAAGGATCCGCATCCTCTGCCTTTTTCTTGAGTGCCTCAGCTTCCTCCATCAAAGCATTTGCTTTTTTCAAGAGCAACTCAGTGCCTTCCTTGTTTCCATCATTTGCTTTCTCCTTCCCTTCATCTGTCTGCTTTACTCTCTTTGCATCCCCCTCAGCCTTCTTTGCTTCATTTGCTCTCTTCGCATCCTTCTCAGAAGTTCGTACCTCCTTTGCCTTCTTTGCCTCCTCCTCAGCCTTCAGTTGTTCTTCTGCCTTCTTCAATTCTTCTGCGTTGTTTGCGAACTTCTCAGCCTTCTGTCGTTCTTCTGCCTTCTTCATTTCTTCTGCCTTCTTTGCCTCCTCTGCTTTCCTTGCGTCCTCCGCAGCTTTCTGTTGTTCTTTTGCCTTCTTTGCCTCCTCTGTTTTCTTTGCCTCCTCCTCAGCTTTCCGTTGTTCTTCTGCCTTCTTCATTTCTTCTGCCTTCTTTGCCTCCTCTGCTTTCTTTGCCTCCTCCTCACCTTTCCGTGGTTCTTCTGCCTTCTTCATTTCTTCTGCCTTCTTTGCCTCGTCTGCTTTCCTTGCGTCCTCCTCAGCTTTCCATTGTTCTCCTGCCGCTGTGTCCGTTGCCTGGGTGGGGTCTTCCGAATCACTCATAATTTCTTTCTTGATGCGGATGCACTGCTCAAGGTTTAGCCTCTCTTTGTAAGCAGCATAGTCTCTTCGGAGCCAAACTTTGATCGGAAATTGAAAAGAGTGCGGCACACCACACAGCTGTCCATCAGAGGCAAAGAACATGACATAGCCCTCAGCATCAGCAACCAGGTCGTCCCAACCGTATTCCACCAAGTTGGTAAACAATTCCGCTTCCCAATTGAACTTGAACTGTTGAACGTGAACCGGCTCTGGCCAGGCTCCATCAACATGACCCGCCCCAAATGCTTCGGCTGCCTCCTGCTCCGTTAAATTCAATTGTTCTTCAGCATTCTTTGCCTCCTCTGCTTTCTTTGCATCCTCCTCTGCTTTCCGTTG